AGGTAACATAATTTTACTGGACTGTTCTCCAGAGTATTTAAATATTATACAGATTATGGAGCCGCACGTATGCTCACTGTCAAATTGTCATAAATATTGAAAATTATAAGAAGCAAAGCAAAAATCCTGTATACTTTCAAAGTTAAGAAGCCAGCAATACAGGTATTTTTTATATAAAGGCATGTTTTCTGTTGATTGAGTTCTCATAATGCTATTGGATGTAGCAATCAGTTAAGAACCGGGATTTGCTTTGCTTGGATTAACACCACTGATTATAGGGGAAAAACAACAACTCCCTCAAATGGGAAACTACTGTTGCGGCTAAGCAAGGCACACCAGCTTTGTTTCAATAGCTGGCTGCTGTGTTGGAGTCTTTGGTTAATGTCTGTGATCCGTGTTGCAAACAAAACTGCAAGGTCAAGACCAGATACGACAGGAGGCTGGGCCTGAGACTTCTGGATTGAAAGGCAACGAGAAAGCATTTCTGTGTTTTTCGTTGTTGCTGATAGTTTTGACCAGCTGTTATTCTTAGCTCTACATAACAAGATACAGGACACCTTTATTATTGAAATTTCTATGGGACAAGTATACTGACTCTAGATTTAGTTCTCTTTTTCTAAATGAAATGATTTTTAATTTTTTTCATATAATCCATAGGTTCACAAAAATGACTTTTTTGTATGACAATTTTTGATAATGTGAAGTTTCTTAGAAATATAATTATCACATAATAGCAGAATAGTCTATATTAGTTTTTGTTTGCACATGTGTAAACTATATAAAAGAATAATCAATATATGCAACACATTATCCTTTTTTTTTGTTTTCTTGTTTTAAAATGATTTGAAAATAAATTTCTAATTATGAGACCCATTGGATCTTGATTAATATCTAAATAATCCTAACCTAGAAAATAACAAGGAATTGGTATCTTGCCAATGTTTAGATTTGTCTCTGAGGAACGTGGAATGTCTTTCCAATTACTCATTCGATGGAGTTGTGTAATTATCCCTAAATAGGAAATCTCTAGATCATTCCTATGTGTTTTGTTTGTTGTTTTTATTGTAAGTGGCATATTTTTTCTTTGGTAGATTTTTTCCCTTTGGTTGTGATTTTTAGATTTTTTCCTTTGGACACTTCCTTTTCTTCAGTGTTTACCTTCCTGCTTGTCACTGTCTCTCTTGAAAGGCACAAATATCCATTTCTATCACTTCTGGTTTGTCTTTTTTTTTTTTTTTTTTGAGATCAAGTCTCACTCTGTCATCCAGGCTGAAGTGCAGTAGCACGACCTCAGCTCTGCAACCTCCGCTTCCTGAGTTCAAGCAATTCTCCTGGCTCAGCCTCCCAAGTAGCTAGGACTACAGGCGTGTGCCACCACAACTGGCTAATTTTTGTATTTTTAGTAGAGGTGATTTTTCACCATGTTGGCCAAGCTGTTCTCAAACTCCTGACCTCAGGTGATCCACCTGCCTCAGCCTGCCGAAGTGCTGGGATTACAGATGTGAGCCACTGCACTGGGCCAGACCACTTCTTTTTTTAACTACAGTCCCAGAATGGGCCTCTGCTTCCTTCAGGGTTCTCTTGCCCATCTTCAACTAGTTCAGTTGGATTTTAAAACTTTAACTTACCTCTGAAGTTAGCCCTGTTATCTCTGCTCCTTTTCAGACTACATTAAAGAATCTAGGTTCTTTAAAGAATCTACGTTAGGCCGGGCGCGGTGGCTCAAGCCTGTAATCCCAGCACTTTGGGAGGCCGAGACGGGCGGATCACGAGGTCAGGAGATCGAGACCATCCTGGCTAACAGGGTGAAACCCCGTCTCTACTAAAAAATACAAAAAGCTAGCCGGGCGAGGTGGCGGGTGCCTGTAGTCTCAGCTATTCAGGAGGCTGAGGCAGGAGAATGGCATGAACCCGGGAGGCGGAGCTTGCAGTGAACTGAGATCCGGCCACTGCACTCCAGCCTGGGTGACAGAGCGAGACTCCGTCTCAAAAAAAAAAAAAAAAAAGAATCTACGTTAAAGAATCTACACATTGTCCTTCTCTTCCTTACAGTATCTGCCTTGATGACTAAATCAGAAATTGTTTTATTGCATTACTCCCTGAGTGTCTGGTATTTTAGCAAAATCTGAGCCATGAGCTTCTTAAGAAGTAAAGCCTTGTACTCACTGGTCACAGTCTAGCTTCTCTATGGCTTAAGAGTTTGATAAAGCTATACATGGCATTTATTCCTTCCTTCTTGCTGCTTAGAGTATCACTGAGTTTTTCTTCTACTCCAGCTAAGAAGGTGCCACATCTCACCTGTCAGTGGTTCTCACCTGGCTTTACATTAGCATCACTAAGGGGCTTTTACAAAACACTTGCTGAGGTCTCATCTCCAGATTCTGATTTAACTGGTTCAGGGTGAGGTGTTACTATTATAAAAAACAAGCAAACAGAAATCCCTCCAGGTTATTGTAATGTGCAGCCAGGCTTGAAAGCCCTTCCTGATGGAGTAAAGCTCCCGTTCTGTTGTTTTACTGAACTTCTATTCTGGATCTGTGAAATCCACAAGCACGATTGAGGCTTTATTGGTGTGTCTGTCCCACAGCCCTGGTGAGGGGTAAGACAGAAGCTTGGTGAACCTAACATGATATGACCTGCTCCTGACAAAGGCCTGTAAACCAACGCTGTGTTCACTCTGAGAGTCATTATTTAATCAAGTGACAGAGGTTGAGTGACACTCAACCACTGTGGCACAGATACTGTGCTAGGCACCATGAGAACAATTTGACAAGGGCTTCATGCTTATGGAGGTTAGAGTTGATGACTCTGTTTTGGTTCTAGAAATGAATTCCTGTCCTGAGGATGCTCCTGCTTGTCCCACAAGCAAGGCTGTCTTTGGTACACAGCTGGGCCCTACACCCTACTCTCCTGTGGGTAACATACTGTTCACTTCAACCTGCCCTGCTTGGCCAGATAATATTCATGGCTTAGGAGAGAAATGACCAGGACCCTGACTTCTTCATCTACCAACCAGACTAGGTTACTCAGGAATACCAGTGGCACTGGTCGTCCCTGTGCCTTCTCTCATAGTGAGCTTAGCTCGGCCATGAACCTAGAGCCTAGAACTCTATTGGGCTGTCTGGTGAAGGGTGAGCTTTAAAAATTCAAGACTAAAGGCAGCTGCAAATGACCTGTTTCTGACCAGTTTTTTCTGACACACATCTCAGTCTCAACCTTTAACCTTTTCACTCTAACTGAAGGCAGAGGAAGTAAGCATTGAGAAAATTCCATTAAGGAAGACGAAAGCGCGCCACCTTCCCTAAAGCCTGGGTGCAGTGAGGCCACAAAGACTACTTCCTGTCTCCCTTTCCCTGGGCCGCTTTGTCTGCTGACTCCTAGAGACACTTCCCTCCCAAGTAGAGGTGAAATCTCACCCCAGCAGCTGCCCGGAGCGATTAAAGAGACCAAAGAAAACAGTTGAAAAAGAATACCAAAGTAGTAAGTGATCAAAAGATTAGATCTAAGAGTGAGTTCTTTTCATAATTCCCCTACTCCTCATTTCTGTTGTCTAGAGCCTCACTAGATGCACTTGACCTATGTCAGTGTCCCCACCCCCTCATGTCCACAGAAGTCTGCAATGCAGATTGCAGTAGGGTTGGCCATTTTTCAGGAATGTTTTTCACATTCATTGAGAATTGACCTTCAGAATTGTGACTTATTTTTTCTTACCACTCTAGTGATAGCAAGTAATCGTTTTTAAGAGTAGATTTGATTTTTCATACAACCAGAAATCATTCAGGATGTAATTTGGTGAATACCCTGTGTTGAGGTTGTAAATTTGATCTGAAGACAGTTTCCATGACAAAGTTCAGAAATGCTTTGAGTAAAAGCAGCATTCATACATAATGTTGAGCACGTACGTTGACAGGCACTGCTCTGGGCACTGGGGATACAACAAGACTGGCATTCCAGCTAGGAGAGAGGAGTTTACCAATTAATAAGTAACAAAACAGCCAAAAATACTAAAGATGTTGCTAAAATAATACAATTTCTGGAAAGAAATACTCTGAAGAAGAATGGAGGAGGTGAGGAAGGGTGGAAGTGGCTGGTTTAGGGAGGGTGATTTAAAGTAGGCTCTGAAAAGGGGGCCCTTGGGCAGAAGCCTGAGTCCTATGAAGCACAAGGCCATGTCACAGTATGTTCTGGGTAGTGGCAGCAATAAATGAAAGTTGCGGAGGGAAGAATAAGCTTGGCGGGTTTCAGAAACACCAAAGGAGCAATGTAGGGGGTGCGGAGTAGAGGAGAGGGCACATGGTAGGAGATGAGATTGGAGATGTAGGCCAAGATTCTGAGGCTGCTGTGAAGCAGCTGGGGGATGAGTGTTGCTGGAGTCAGTGTTTTGCCTTTTAGGGACATTATTTTGAAGGTAAAGACTAATTTGTATTTATGACTTAAGACACATGTTAAGCCAGTGTTATAATGGGTGGAGGTGAGGAATAAATGCATATCCTTGAATACACTTAGAGTGTTTTTGCAAAAAGATCAGAGAAAGCAGTGGCAGTGTGAACTGGGTGATAGGTTGTGACACTGCTGGCAGGTCAAGAGAGGAAGGGGCACTTACGTTAATCTCTTCTTTAGTAATATTTGATTTTTTATCATATGCATGTATTTTTTAGAAGCTTTTTCATAATATACCATATGTGTGTATATGTATAAGATTTGATTTTTTGCGGAAAGTATAGCTGCTGTGTTTGTGAACACACAAAGAGATCTTTAAACCAACCTCTCCTCTGAGATAATTTGATAAGTGATCGGAAGCTACTTGGCATTTAGATTTCTGTGAAATCCAAGCATTGACACTTGAGTGTTTTCAATGAGTGAAATGTGCTCTAATAGATAACACTTAATATTTTAATATTAATATTTTATTAAAATAAAATAACAGGTGTTTAATATTAATATTTTAATAGATACTTAATTTTTCTATTTCAAACTACATCTTTTGCTCTTTTCTCTAGGCAACGGAAACAGACACAAAAATCAGAGTGTGCACCCGGGCCTACCATCTTCTTGTGAAAAAACTGGGCTTTAATCCAAATGACATCATTTTTGACCCTAATATCCTAACCATTGGGACTGGAATGGAAGAACACAACTTGTATGCCATTAATTTTATCCATGCAACAAAAGTCATTAAAGTAAGTGTAGACATTTTCTCTCCCAAGTCATGGCTCAAATTCGTCCCATGGGTCTAATGAATGGTTAGAGCTGACATATATTTATTGGCTGAAATGTTAACATTCTTGTTCTTAGTTAGTAAATAGTTTTTCTGAAATGTAGGAGACCTTATTTTTTTTTTCTTTAGTGGAGTTTTAACTTGTGTAACCAACAAACTGTAGAATATAACAGAGCCTGATGAACTCGCTTGAACCCAGGATGGTGGAGGTTGTGGTGAGCTGGGATCACGCCACTGCACTCTAGCCTGGGCAACAGAGTGAGACCCTGTCTTGAACAAAACGAAACAAAACAAAACAAAAAAACCACAGAACCTAAGAAATAATTAATTATGAAGCATATGAGAGCCTTCATTTAGGTCCCAAATAGAGCATAGCAAGCGCCCTCATCTGTCTCTCCTTTTGCAGTTACACCTCATTCTCAATTTTATAAAGTAGCTGTCGTCCTGAGTTTTATGATGCCACTCTGTTGCTTTTCTTCATAAATTTATTGCTTATACACGTAGATTTGATTTGCATCATCCATGAATTTTGTATTTGCAAATTCATACACTCACTGAAATTTATTTGTGACCCCAAAATCAATACGTCACTTCTGCAGTTATTTAGACATACCCATATGCAGAGTGGTGGAAAATTTGAGTGGCCCAACCCATATTGTTCCCAAAGAGGTCAAACATGGCAGTGACCTACTTTCTTATTTCAGCTCTCATCGTGTACACAGATGTCCTTTTTGCAGTCTAATGCCATATTTTTCACATTTTTATGCTTTTTGTTGGTGAGGTCACTTTTTAAAATGGCCCCATACTAGTACTGTCTAGTGTTCCTAAGTGCAAGAAGGCTGTGATGTGCCTTATGGAGGAAATATGTGTGTTAAACAAGCTTTGTTCAGACATGCGTTATAGTGCCTTTGGCTGTCAATTCAGTGTTAATTAATCAACAATAAATATTAGATAAAGTATCTTAACATGAACACACAGAACAAGGTTATATATTCATTGGTAACCCTGTATTTCTCCTAGGAGCAATGCTCTGGTATTTCCTAATTCAGTGTTTGCAGTGACCTTAAGGAACATAACTACCACAAAATAATAAGAATTGACTGAATATCTGAATGATATAGTTTGGTTTTGCCTGCTTTTGAGCCTAATAAAAAGAATCATAATATTTTTATGCTTTTTTTTCTTGCTCAACTTCATTCTAAAGATTTATCTGTGTGTCTGTAGCTGTTTGTTCATTTTTATTAACGTATAATATTCTGTGGTATAACTATACCACAATTAACTGTTCTATTGTTAATGGACATCTAGTTTGTTTCCAGCTTTTGGACATTATGAACAATGCTGCTCTGAGTATTCTTATATATGTATCTTAGACATACATGCCTGAGCTTCTCTGTAGCATATACCCAGAAGTGGAATGGTTGGCTCATAGTAGTAGATAATGACAAACTGTCTCCCTAGATTCTTGAGCCAATAATAGTAAGTGAGAGTTCCTGTCATTCCGCATGTCTGATGATGCTTGTTACTGTTATCGGTATGGTTGGAACTTCAATTTCCTTTTGTCCTTTTATAGTTGGTCAAGTTTATAGTGAACTAGGGAGTCTGTTCATTTAGGCTATGGAAGCCTTCTAGTAATTTGTACGTTTAATGAATAGGGAATTCCTCTTTGTCTTTCTGTGTGTGTGTGTGTGTATGTGTGTACTCACGTGTTTTCCTTAGGGAGAATGGAGTCTAGTAGGAAAAACTACTTACGAAGCAGCACCTTTGTGATACCATAATACAGCAAGCTTTGCTCTATGTCTAGTAACAGGAAGCTCTGAATTACTTTGAACTTCGGATGGTTTTTGTTTTTTGTTTTTTTTCTTTCGACTCCTATATAAAGCTTAAGAGATATGATTGCTGTTTTTAGCAAAAAGGGGAATCTTCTCATGTTTTAAAATTTTTGCCAGGAAACATTACCTGGAGCCAGAATAAGTGGAGGTCTTTCCAACTTGTCCTTCTCCTTCCGAGGAATGGAAGCCATTCGAGAAGCAATGCATGGGGTTTTCCTTTACCATGCAATCAAGGTATGGGAGAAGAACTGTTTGTCCTGCGGAAACCAGCTTTTACTTGGGGTAGGGATTTTCAAAGTGTGGCATCTAGGCTAAGTCTGGCCTGCTCCCAGTTTCTGTAAATAAGATTTTATTGGGATAGAGCCACACCCATTCACTTGGATCTTGTCTGTGGCTGCTTTTATGCTGTAACTGCAAAGTTGAGTAGCTATGACAGAGGCTATGGCCTAAAATAGTTTCTATCTGGCCCTTTACAGAAAAAAGTTTGCTGATCGCTGACTTAGGGTATCACTGTAAATTCTCATTTTTATTTGTATTGCCCTTAGTCTGGCATGGACATGGGGATAGTGAATGCTGGAAACCTCCCTGTGTATGATGATATCCATAAGGAACTTCTGCAGCTCTGTGAAGATCTCATCTGGAATAAAGACCCTGAGGCCACGGAGAAGCTCTTACGTTATGCCCAGGTAGACAGACAAGTGTTCTAATGGATGGATTTTTCCTGTCTTTAAATGTATTACTCACCCACAGTTAGTAGACCTTCATTGTGAAATAGAAGCAAATATCAAATCATATATTTAGATCACTGAAGATTTCTACAGAGAGTTGCAGAGATGGTGGTGTAGCTAGGGCAAGGAAGGATAAACAGACCATGCCTAGGCTGCTTCCGTATTCTGGACTTAGGTTTCTTTAAATTTATTTTAAAATGTAAAATTTATTTTTCTTGTACCAAGTAACATATTAGTTCTAGAAAATTTACAAAATTCTGGTAAGCAAAGGAAGAAAATAAAAATCACTTGTAATCCTACCACCCAAAGTTAAACACTTGAGATTTTGTTATAACCTTTAAGTAATGGGAGGTTTTTTTTTTTTCTCTTTGCAGAATGAATATGCATGCATAGGTACATGTACACACATTTTTTTTTTTACAAAAATAGAACTATAGATGCTTTTATGGTAATATTTTTTTCTTAGCAGTGTACTGGGAACATATTTCCATTTTACTTGATATTTGTCTACCTCATTATTTGAAATAGCTGTTCTGGATTTTCTTGTGTGGCTGTGTTAGCATTACGTGGTCCCCAATGTTACATGTTTTGGTTTGTATATCTGTTTATGTTAGGATCTAGTCCATCTGTGGCAAAGTTCTGCAGTTCAAGGCTTGAAGTCTGTGCACATTTGATCTGTAAAAAATGAGTATAATTATAGCTAATTCAAACACCAGCTTGTTTCTCACTTACATGTTGGGCGCAGTCCTAGGCACATGAAGTATCTATCATAGATGCTGCTTCCTAGAATTCAGTTTAAGGAAAGTTGAGATCTTTACCTCAAAAGAACTTGCATTTTAATCTGTTTCAGAGAATGATGGCAAAGGAAGACATTTTTCCGACAAAGCATGTTGAGAAAGTGGTAGGATGCTTTTGTGTCTCTTGCCAACTTTGTTAATATTTTCCATGTTAGAATCTGAATTTAGCTCTGATAGAACAGCCAACTTTTCCTCTTCTACAGAAGAGTAATAAAATGCTCTGGAAGAAGGATAGGGCACTCTGAGAGTAACCACATCCTTGTTTTATCGGCCTTACTGGTAGTAAGACTTAGATTTCTGAAATTGCTTATGGAAGCCTTAGGCTCAACAAAGCTGAAAGGAGTTCAGACACTGTGCCAAAGCTCACATGACCCTCCTCTCAGTTCCTTAAAAACATTTCTAGTTTCTCATGTGGACCCAGGACAGAATGTCTCATTTGGTTGTGGCAGATACAATCAAGTTCTACTTCTCAGCACATTACTTAGGAAACATTCCGTAGATTTTAATTTTTTTTCCTATTAACCGTTTTTGTTCACATAGACAGAGTGCTTAGTCCTGTCTTATTCTTTGAACGCTGAGACATGGGCGTTAAACACTATTCAGTTTTGAGTCATGGTCCATCTTCTACCTAGTAGGGGGCCCTTCATTAATAACTGTCAGAGAGTTCTGTTGAAGGCCAAAGGGGCATCATAGCCTCTATTGTCATGAAGTCATTTTAGACAGTTCTTAATTAACCCGTGAAATGATGTGTTTTTATCTTTTCCCTGATCTATCCAGAGGAGGCAGCCCTCTCACTTAGGAAAGGGGCTCCTTATTTGTAAGACCATTCCCATTTCAGGTTTTTTTAGCATTGTATTTTGTGCTAGACATTCTTTTGGTCTGTACTGTCTTAGCAATTGTTTACAAGCTTTCATTTCTGTATGTCATGCTGAGCTACCAAGAGGTTTTGCCCCTGGAGGCACTGTCAAAGTGAGGGAAATCTTAATAGCAATTGCAAGAGCTTAACAATTCATCATAGAAGAATTTCCTCATTCTTAATGTAACCATGAGGGCTTCTCATAAGCCACTGACCTCTCTGTCAGGGAGGCTGTCTACCTTCAAGGTGACTTCCGTTGCCGTTAAGAGAATTAATAACCAAAATAGGTATCCTCTAATAACTCCTGGAAGTCGCCAGCTGTGTAGCAATTCCTTAGGATGCGCTGAGTGCAAATGGAGCATGAAGAGCAGGAATATTATGAGGAAAATAAGAGTCAAGGAATTTTTTCTCTTTTATAAGAGAATGATCTCTTTCGGTTATTGCAAATGAAGAAGTCTGCACCCAGCTTCCTGTCTGATATATTATTGAACCTGGTGGGAAGAGTACTGCCTCTGATCTTCCAAGGCTCTCTAATCTCACATTTGGGGAGGAATGGGATTTTTCTGAAAAATAATTTTCCTGATTGAGTTCAGACTGACTTGTGGTAAGTAAATTATTTTTGACAATAAAAATTTCCAGATACCATGTAATTTATGTGGAGGATCTTTATTAAAGGGTACCCTAATGGAGGCCAGGCCTTCTGTGGAGTGGAAGGATTGCTGCTCTGGATAGAATGGATGTGGAATGACCCTGGAGCTTGAGAATATTCTTGATACTTTCTGGGAAAATTTTCTGTTCTTTGATTTGGCCTTGATCCCTCCCTTCGTCATTTGGGCTCACATTCTTCTTTGGCTTTCTCTGCAGCAGTTTACTTCCTTTTACAACCTACACAACCATGAGGCCCCTGTGAGGCAGAAGCAACTCTAGAGTGGGAAGAAGTAGTTTTTCTCTTTAGCTTTGTACACGTACAGATACAAGGAGTAGCCAGATGGACACGACAATTGCTTGGTCAATTTGCTTTGTAGCTTTCTATCTACTAAGCTTCCACAGTGTGCCTGGGTCTGGTCTTCCTTAGTGTGTGAAAACTGTGTAGCACCTTGGATGTATATCATGGAGAACTCCCTATTGAATAACTACATGAAAAGTAAGATGGACCTCAGCATGCCATTGTGTATTTCTGAAATAACTGCTTTTAACTGTACTGTTTCATTTTAAGTATTGCTTTCCTGAATCAAATTCATCAGGTTTGGAACATAGCTATCAGGTGGGATAGTTTTTAGACATCGCAACCTCCAACACTTCAGTGAATTCTTTACTGCTCTTTGTATCCTCTTTTGCCTCTGTCCATAATCACATATTTTTTGCCCCCTTCCCACCCCATAAGTCTGGCACATTGTGGTATTTTTCTGTGGACACACCAGAGCCTTTTTTCAGGAGTGTTTGGAACACACTGCCCTGTTTTTACACAGCAGAACTCCATCCGCCAGGTAGGAATTGTCTGATTGTGTGGCTAATAGAACAAATGGTGTTTACAGGTATCAAGTGATGGAACTGTGAACATTAGAGGGATGGTTTCTTTTTTGATTACTATCTCGTTCAGGTTTTTCAACATATGAGAGTCATTGTGTTGTTATTATTCCAGTTACCTCTTTGGCCCTAAATCTTGGAGTTCTCCCCAATTCCTTCTTCCTCTCTCTTCTTCTTCTTCTTCTTCTTCTTTTTTAAATTATACTTTAAGTTCTGGGATACATGTGCAGAACGTGCAGGTTTATTACATAGGTATACACATGCTGTGATGGTTTGCTGCACCCATCGACCCGTCATCTACATTAGGTATTTCTCCTAATGCTATCCCTTCCCTAGCCTCCCAAACCCTGACAGGCCCCAGTGTGTGTTGTTCCCCTCCCTGTGTCCATGTGTTCTCATTGTTCAGTTCACACTTATGAGTGAGAACATGTGGTGTTTGGTTTTCTGTTCCTGTGTTAGTTTGTTGAGTATGATGGTTTCCAGCTTCATCCATGTCCCTGCAAAGGACATGAACTCACCCTTTTTTATGGCTGCACAGTATTCCATGGTATGTATGTGCCACATTTTCTTTATCCAGTCTGTCATTGATGGGCATTTGGGTTGGTTTCAAGTCTTTGCTATTGTAAACAGTGCCACAAAAAACATACATGTGCATGTGTCTTTATAGTAGAATGATTTATAATCCTTTGGGTATATACCCAGTAATGGGGATTACTGGGTCAAATGGTATTTCTGGTTCTAGATCCTTGAGGAATCGCCACACTGTCTTCCACAATGGTTGAACTAATTTACACTCCCACCAGCAGTGTAAAAGCATTCCTATTTCTCCACATCCTCTCCAGCATCTGTTGTTTCCTGACTTTTTAATGATCGCCATTCTAACTGGCGTGAGATGGTATCTCATTGTGGTTTTGATTTGCATTTCTCCCTCCTCTCCTTCTTAGTTATTGTCTATTAATACCTTTATGTTTGTCCTTTCCTTTCCTCCTGTTACCACTACTGAGTCCAGGTCTTCATCAGGGACTATTCAGATATTCTCCCTATTTTGTGGTTCCCTTAAACATGTGACTTGGAATGTTAATCTGCAGCTTTAGAACTTTGAATAATGTCTCCCCTTTCTTCCCATGCAATTGCCTGGAAGGTTAAATTTAAACTCCACAGCATGGATTTTTGGCCCTCTGTGACTTGACCTCTACCACCCTGGACAAACATTACTCCAGCAAAATCAGTCTTTGTGTAGCATTAATTCATCCAGCTAATATTTACTGAAGTGTCGCTCTGAGCCATTCGTTTGATTGAACTTAGAGGATCTAACTAGTAAGAGAGATGTACCCCTACCGTCTTAGAGCCTACAGCTCAGTGACACATGCAAAAATGTATAGAGGCGATTGTCACCCAGTGCAGCAAGTGCTGTGAGAGGGGAAGTGCAGGATGCTAGGAGAAGCCTGAGGGAGATTCTGACCTCAAACTAGAGGTGGTCAGGGAAAGCTTCCCAGGGGACGTGATAGGTCAGGTGAGACTTGAGAGAAATAAAGGAGGTAGCCAGGCCAAGGTTTGGGAGTAGAGTGCAGTGCTTGTGGTCCCTGCCAGGGGAGAGAGATTTGCATCTAGCCAGAGTCTGGCATTGTCAAAGGTACTGCATAAATGTATGTCAGATGAACAAATGTGAAGGCCTGGAGGTGAAGAGATGATGGAGAGCATAAGAAACAGAAGTGTTATGGATGGCTGAAGCTTGTTGGGAATGGCAGAAGAGGAAGCTATAGGAGAAAGCCAGGTCAGGTGTCTTAGTCCATTCTTACGCTGCTGATAAAGGCATACCTGAGACTGGGTAATTTATGAAGAAACTGAGGTTTAATGGACTCACAGTTCCACGTGGCTGGGGAGGCCTCACAGTCATAGTAGAAGGCGAAAGGCACATCTTACATGACAGCAGGTAAGAGAGAGAACTTGTGCAGGGAAACTCCCCTTTGTGAAACCATTAGATCTTGTGAGACTTATTCACTATCACAAGAACAGCACAGGAAAGACTTGTCCCCATGATTGAGTTACCTCCCACTGCTTCCCTCCCACGACATGTGGGAGTTGTGGGAGCTACAAGTCAAGATGAGATTTGGGTGGGGTCACAGCCACACCATCTCATCAGGGCGTTGGATAGTGTAGTAAGGAATCAGTACCATGTCATGAAACCAATAGGAAACTTACACAGAGACTTTTTTCACAGGGAGCAGTTGGATCAGATTTGCATTTTAGAAGCATCTTTTTGGCTACAGTGTGGAAGATGAATCAGAGACCAGAATGATTCTGGACTGTAGAGACCACTTAGTTCTTGGACTATGAAAATGGAGGCAGGGTGGAGAGAAAAATATTGAGGTGTGATCATTAGGATGAGGTGATTGATTGAACTTGAGTAGTGAATGGAAATTCAAGGGTGATACTTAGGTTTCCAGTTTGGCAGCTGGTACCACCAGCTGAGGTGGAGAAAACAATAAAGTAATGCAATTTATCATGTGTGCCACGATCATTGCGCTTTTGTTCCTTTGCTGAATCTGCCCCCTCTCATCATTCAGCTTCTTTGAAACCTTTCTTTGCCACCATAGCTTACAATAACCATTCCTCCCTCAAAATTCATACGTACCTAGTCTATATTATGTACTCATTCAGCCCTTGACATATACTCTCTTTCTTTCTTTACATATTTTCTACCTCTCTTACGATATGGCTGTCTTAGTCATGAGTTTGCTCTAACGGGATACCAAAGACTGGGTAATTTATAAAGAAGTTTAATTAGCAGCTGGGAAGTCCAAGAGCATGGCCTTGGCCCCTGGTGAGGGCCTTCTTGCTGTGTCATAACATGGCAGAGGGCATCTCATGTGAAGAGGGCAAGAGCAAGAGAGCCAGAGAGATAGCAAACCTGCTTCCATGGTAGCAACATTAATCCATCCGTCATTAACTCGTTAATCCATTCATGGGGGGAGGGGGATTAGGTTTTCAACACAACTTTTGGAGGACACCTTCAAACCATAACAATGGCAGAGTCCTTGAGAGCATAGTCTGTGTCATACCTCCTGGTGTGCCCACCTTTGATGTCTGACTTAGCTTCATTATGGCCTCCCTGCATCTGTTTGTGGGTAGTGGTGATCCTTGTTGAGAGCTTTGAAGGCTCATCGGGTTTGGAGTATAGCTTCTCTTACTGTCCTGGAAATATTTTGTCTTGAGTTGTTATTTTTAGAAAAGAGGGAAAGGAAAGAATGGAACTTTACTCTGTCTCTACACTAACTGTTCAAACCCTAAAAGATTTCTCATTTTTCCCTCCCCTTCCCTCAAACATTCATTGAGATCTTATTTTATGCTGGACAGTCTACTAGGGGCTGGAATAGTAAAAGAAGAATAAGATACAGGTTTTTATTTTTTATTTTTTTGCCATCAAACAGTTTTGTTAGTGACGAGTTGTATCCATTTCTTGGTTTCAATTTCAATTCAGACTCAAGGCACAGGAGGGAAGAAAGTCATTCAGACTGATGAGTGGAGAAATGGCCCTGTCGAAGAACGCCTTGAGTATGCGCTTGTGAAGGTGAGTTACAGGAGCCTGAACTGGAGGGCTGGAGCCTCATCGTGGCTGACTGGTGCTGTTGCGGGCGGTGTGGTGCTGACAGCAGCTGGAGAAGGAGATGCTCTAGACCACTGATTGTCAAGCTGGGGAGGTCCCCCTTGCTGTCCCCCAATCCCCCCACCATAGCACATTTGACAGCGTTCAGAGACATTTTTGGTTGTCATAACTGTGCGTGGAAGGTATTACTGGCATCCTATGGCCAGGGATGCTGCTAAACATCCTACAGTGCCCAGGACAGCCCCAAACAACAAAGAATATTCCCTCCCAGGTGTCAGTAGTGCTGAGGCTGCGAATCCTGTCCTGGACTAAGTTGCTGTCAGTTGGTCAGCAAGTCAGTTTCATAGTTGGAATTTTAGGCTTTAGGCAAGATCCAATAATCTCTTGGCTACAGTTTCCTCATGTGTGAGTCTGGAGAATCTCAGAGTTCTTTTTTTTTTTTTTTTTCCTCTTTGGCTCTGGAGTTTAACATAGTTAACTCTTGCACCTTTTGAGATTCACATATTTCAATTTGTGGAGCTAGTCGGCCAATCCAAGGATCATTGAACTGGGGACCTTGGAGGAGTGGGGCTTGTCATTGAAGGGTGGATAAGTCAGTGGAGGCTTCATGGATTTGAACTTCATTTAAGGGCCCCATCCAGTGTCGTTTCTCCCCAACCCTACAGCATTACAGTGAGAAAACGTACTGATCTCCCCACAGGTATTTATTAATGTATAATCTGGTAAAACACTAAGATACAAAATGTATTTTATGATGCATTTGAACTTATTAGTCCTTCTCTATTAGCTTATTTTACTGAGGTACATTTTAAAGCATTTTTTTAATTGGCATATGAAATTGTATGTATTTACTGCATACAACATTCTGTTTTGGAAGTGTATGAGGTATTTACTTTGTATCAGTAAAGCCAGCTGAGCACTTTATCTCAATCCTCAAAATAAACATATGAGATACTATTGTAATATTCTAATTGAGGAAACTGAGGCTTATTGAATTGCCTAAATTAGTGATAGGAAGCCAGATTGAACCCGTGCACTCTAATTCTGGAACCTATGCTCTTAAGCATTTTCATGATGGCTCTGTGGAGGTAATGCAGTTTTTTTAGGTGATCTTTTTTTTCTTGTCTTTTTTTAGGGCATTGAAAAACATATTATTGAGGATACTGAGGAAGCCAGGTTAAACCAAGAAAGATATCCCCGACCTCTCAATATAATTGAAGGACCCCTGATGAATGGAATGAAAATTGTTGGTGATCTTTTTGGAGCTGGAAAAATGTTTCTACCTCAGGTTGGCAAAAGATGGGGAGAAATTTTCACAGTTGCATCTTTTCTTTGTTATTTAATACATGCTGATTTGGGATGTATTTCTCAGGTTTTAATTTGAACAAGAGTTCAGTGGCATTGGCTAGTCATTCCTGCTCTAAATGTGTTTAGGAGTCGTATCTGGAAAAATCCATCTTTGGAGTGGTGTGGATGTTAGAAATCATCCAAAAATTCGCAGCATCATAATCTATCATAATCCTTATGTTCTAATTTTTTTTTTTTTTTTTTTTTTTGAGACAGAGTCTACCTCTGTCGCCCAGGCTGGAGTGCGGTGGCACAATCTCAGCTCACTGCAACCTCTGCCCCTCCAGATTTAAGCAATTCTCTGCCTCAGCCTCCAGAGTAGCTGGGATTACAGGTGTGTGCCACCATGCCCAGCTAATTTTTTTGTATTTTTTTAGTAGAGACGGGATTTCACCATCTTGGCCAGGCTGGTCTTGAACTCCTGACCTCGTGATCCACCCGCCTTGGCCTCCCAAAGTGCTAGGATTACAGGCATGAGTCACCGTGCCCGGCCTTATGTTCTAATTTTTGTATCACCTCTTATCCCCAATACCTATCTCTCCCCTCCAAAAGTAAAATAAAACCCAAGATAAATGTAGAGTTACTAACGTTAAGACTTGATTTGACCAGGCGCTATTCATCTGTAAGGATGCATATTTTGAGACAAATGTTTCTGTTTTAAATAACAGTACGTTAGGTGGTTTGTTTAAAGTAAAACCAGAACTCTTATTCTGATTTACAGCAGCTACTAACCACATCAGTTAACACATGCTTGTTGAGCATGTAGGTTAGTGACTGCAGCATTTGAGAAACTAAAAGGCCCTCATCTTGCCTAAATGTAAGGCTAGATTTTAAGTGAGTTGTAAAGCTGGGGATTGAGAAGAGTAGGCTGGGAATGGGCTCATGGTGGAGAAGCTTTGGTCCTGAAGGATACATAGAACTCTTGGATAAAAGATAGAGGGCCTCCTAGACAGAGGAAAAAGAAACAAGCAAAAGTTCAGAAGAAGAAATTGCAACATTTGATTTCTAGCCTTGTTTTCCTTCTGCTGTCCCTTATTATTCACTGGCTTTCCCTCCAGGGAGCTTATCCTTTATTCTGCCTACTGTCAAAAGACTCCAGTGTGGCTGTCCTGAAGTCAAAGCATGCATTCTTAATGCGTGCCCAAATTTCACAGGTGGCCATCAGCAGTTGTTCCTGTGGTTTGGGAAAGATGCCTGGTTCTATGCTTTTTTCCTCAGGTTATAAAGTCAGCCCGGGTTATGAAGAAGGCTGTTGGCCACCTTATCCCTTTCATGGAAAAAGAAAGAGAAGAAACCAGAGTGCTTAACGGCACAATAGAAGAAGAGGCAAGTCGTTTTGTTCAGGCCTATGGGCCTTCAGTGAGTTGACCTGGAAGACCGGAGGTGGTGGTAGGGGCCTAAGCAGTCAGGCTTGGCTGTGTTCGTTATTGAGGATAAAATAGAGAAATGATCCCACATCTGTCGCTTTTTTAACCAAATATCAGAGTACTCTGAGACTTTCTTTTGAATGTAGCTTTATCACATTTTTAATATAGATACAAATTTTCAATCAAAACCTATGTTTTCAAGACAATGCCATTTCATTCCTGTATTCCTTCATTAACCGGTCATTTACAAAACTCCCGTGATGTGCCGAGTACTGTGCCGGGCACTACTCACTACAAAGGTCTGTCCCTGCCCTTGAGGCAATTGAGTCATGCTTGTTTTTAGAAAACTCTTAACTGAATAGTCTCTCTCTGCTGGTGATGTCCTTGGCACCACTTCTGGATTCAATTTAATTCTTGTTGGCTGCACCACCAGAGTAAATCATTAAGCTTTTTGACCTTGTTTAGCTCCTTGTGAAGCTCGGGCAGCTTTGGCCCCTAGGATTCTGAATTTTTACATTGATCTGTGTTTGTGCATAGCTCAGACAAACAGAGTTGATAAAAAACCTTCTTGTTTTGCTTTTTTTCTTAATTTGGGGGAGTGGTGGGGGATGCTCAGAACAGCAGTGCTGAGGAAAGGTACTCATGTGCCCTCTGCCTGGGCTTTTGTAGTTTTTCAGATTTGGATGGGACACACACGTACAGTTGACCTGTTGCCCTCTCCCCTGCCTCTCCCTTAATTGCTAACAGTAAACATTCGTCAAATAGGTTCCCCCCGACCCAGAGTTAAGGCTGTGGTCTTTAGCTGTGGGGCTGTTTTGTGTGTGAACATCAGCTGTTCTTTGAAAGGATGGGACCCCTGATCTTGGTTGAAGCCCGTTGGGGTAGCCCGTTAGGTGGGCCTCCTTTGAACTGCTTGGGCTTTTGTTTCCAGGTCTGTCTTTGAGGTGTTCTTGGTTGTATTGAGTTGCTTTCTGTGCTGGCCCCTGCCTTGCTCTGGAGAACTAGGTGCTCTGCCCTGAGCAACCCTGCCTTGCTGAGCTGCTTGGCTTCCTTTCCAGGACCCTTACCAGGGCACCATCGTGCTGGCCACTGTTAAAGGCGACGTGCACGACATAGGCAAGAACATAGTCGGAGTAGTCCTTGGCTGCAATAATTTCCGGTAAGTTAGGACCTCACCTCTTTCAGCCCCTTTACCATTTAAAAATAACAACTTTTTAACAGAATAATTCTTTTTTTTTTTTTTTTTTTTTGAGACGGAGTCTGGCTCTGTCACCCAGGCTGGAGTGCAGTGGCCGGATGTCAGCTCACTGCAAGCTCCGCCTCCGGGGTTTACGCCATTCTCCTGCCTCAGCCTCCCGAGTAGCTGGGACTACAGGCGCCCACCACATCGCCCGGCTAGTTTTTTGTATAGTAGAGACGGGGTTTCAACGTGTTAGCCAGGATGGTCTCGATCTCCTGACCTTGTGATCCGCCCATCTCGGCCTCCCAAAGAACAGAATAATTCTTTAATGGGTGGGAAGAGTAGGGCATGGCAGTGGATGTTAGAGGTTATTTTTTATTTCTTTTTGTTTACTGTGTTCTGTACTTTTCTTCAGCGAACACAGCATTTCAGATGAAATAAGTTAGTAATTAACCGAGTTCAATAAGGACATAAAGAACAGTAAAAGCTATTCAAGTGGGGTGGAAACCGCCCAGAGGATTCCAGGGGTTGGATGTTGGGACAGAGGCACTAATGGCCGGAATATCAGGCTCCTTCCCATGGTCAGTGGTGTTCATCATATCCTCTTTTTCGTTTCAGTAAACTCAGATTTTAGAACCAAGATCTTATGAGACCTTGGCTAAATGGAGTTTTACAGGAAGGCCTTCTCTGTACAAGTCTCAGTTGGCTTTGCTTAGAGCAGGACCCTGTGTTCTTGGTGATGATTAAGCTAGATTTTGGAATGTTACATACAAGTAAAACCCCTTTCCGATATATCTCATTATAATTAATATTCATAACAAAGTCATTTCCATGTGAGAGCGGATGACCTGTAGTAAGTATATGTTTCGCGTAGATTTGAACTATTCTTTGTAATGAAAACCTAATGGAAATAATGCTTTCTTATATCCATGTCCAGCCAACAGTCCTTTTGAGTCATGGACTTCTTTCCAATGTGCTATTTTCTCTAGATAGAGAAGAAAATTGACTGGAGCTGTCCCTGTACTCCTCAGTTCTCTTCTTTGCTGTCAAGTAACAATTACCTGCTAAGCTCTCTCCGTGCTGTCAACATTTGTGTCCATCTCTGCCTTCAAGGCTAATTAAATACAGCAAAGAACCTTTCAGGAAGGCTGGAGACAGAGGAGCAGTGTCAGGAAGGCATTTTTTCTGCATCTGACTGTCTCACAAGCACTTCTGTTTACCTGCTCACTTACTGTCTAAAGACTTAGTGTTGTCTCCTAGTCCTAGAAATGAGGAATACCATTTCTATCCATGTACTTACTATTATTTTTTAAAGAGAGAAATTTATTGAAGATAGTTGTAATGAAATTTTACCTATATAATAAATATCTGGATAAGGTGTTCGCTTCCTAAAGTCTACAAAGCATTTCTGCTATTGGCTTACCTTTGCAAACCTGAGGTTGTTGGTTCCTGTTTGCATTCATCACAATCAGTTAAAATTTCACTTCAGTTAATAAATGTTTATAGATCATCTTCTACATACCAGGCATTATGCTAGAGACACCAAAATGATTTAGTTGACTTTTGTCCTTGAAAAAGTTTACCGTTTCTCAGCCTAAATAGCCAGATACATGTTCAGCCTTAATAACGGGACAGGAGCCACTGAAGAAAGTGATTTGTAGGTAAACTTCTAAAAGTGATTCTTGAGATATCATTGTCATGTGCTTTATCATTATTTATTTTGATCAATGGATACTTAGCTGAGAGTATTATACTAGCAATGTTGATTTCTCCAGTAAAGACATTTTAGAAGCCAGGGAACATTGTGGCATGTCTCCAGGGTGCTGCTGGAACTGAATGTCAGCAGTTGTGAAGATGCTTATTAAGCCTGAGGCTTTTACTGCAACAAACCCAGTTGCTATATGTTGGGCATTGGGGGTTTGCTTATCTTTGCTAATAAGTCTAACTGGAGAAACACCTTTTGATGAAACGTTACTTTCATTTTACAAAAACAAGCGAATGTGCAAACTTTGTGTCAAACATCCCTTTGGCTTGTGTGTGATAACACATAGACTCTTCCATTGGTGAGTTTAATTTTATGGTGTTAGCGAGTAAACAAGTGTCCCTGGAGATTGTCTTGTGGAATAATGTGTGCTTTTACTGTCAGTACCAGGCCAGTATGCTTGAAAGAATTACCCAGCCTACTGAGTGAGTCTAGCAAACTATCCTGTATCTAATCCTTCTCTTTCCTGGCGTTTTATCGTTGTTGCAGTGAACCTCACAAAATGATAACAATGTTTTTTCTTTGTGAGGATAAAAGAAATAAAGAGAGCTAAAAGTGACAGTTGTGTTTAGAGAGAAAATGTGTTTTTTAAATGGGGAAGATATGATGCAATAGAATTGCAAATTTGAGGATTTGAATAGAACTAAGGATGTATTCACCGAGAATCTACTATTACCTACCATTTTTTTTTTTTACCACGTCCCAATTTATACAGTTCTTTTATATCACTGATTTTTTTTTCTTTGTCATCTTTTTGTTGTTGTTATTTTGGTTCCTTTCCTTTCTTTTCTTTCATCCTTCCTTTCTTTTCATGGTTTTGATCCTACTACCCTGCCTGTTATTGTATTTCTCCTTTTATAGATGAGAAAACTTAGGCTTAGAGAACTTGAGAGGTTTCATCATAGTCCCATGGCTAGCAAGTGTCAAGCCGCATTCAGGGCTTTTGGTTCCAAAAGCTGAGACTTTGTAATATGTCACCTTACTTTACAATACTTTTTTTTGACTTGAGTTGTAAACAAGTATAATGTCTAATATTAACACAGGCATACCTTGTTTTATTGTGCCTCACTTTATTGAGCTTTGCAGATACAGCATTTTGTAAAAATTTGAGTTTTGTGGCAATCCTGCATAGAATATGTGTCTTGATGGCATTTTTCCAATAGCATGTGCTCATTTCACGTCTCTGTGTCACATTTTCCTAATTCTCACAATATTCCAAACCTTATTCTGTGATCAGTGATTGATGTTACTGTTTTAATTGTTTTGGGGTACCATGAACCACACCCATGGAAGATGGCAAACTTAATCCATCAATGTATGTGTTTTGACTGCTCCACTAACCAGCCATTCCCCATCTCTCTCCCTTTCCTCGGGCCTCCATAGTCCCCGAGACACAACAATATTGAAATTAGGCCAGTTAATAACTCTGTAATAGCCTTGAAGTCCTCTAAGTGTTTAAGTGAAAAGAAGAGGCACACACCTCAACTTTAAATCAAAAGTTAGACATGATTAAGTTTAGTGAGGAAGGCATGTCAACAACTGGAATAGGCTGAAAGCTAGGCCACTTGCACCAAATAGCACAGTTAATGCAAAAGAAAAGTTCTTAAAGGAAATTTAGAATGTCCCTCCAGTGAATACACAACTGATAGGAAAGCAAAACAGCCTCATTGCTGGTATGAGGAAAGTTTGAGTGGTCTGGTTGGAGATTAAACCAGCCACAACATTCCCTTAAGCCAGAGTCTCACCCAGAGTAGTTTGGCTTTGTTGGAGCAATAACAAATTGAAGAGAGCTCTAACCATCTTCAATTTTGTGAAGGCTGAGAGAGGTGAAGAAGCTGCAGAAGAAAAGTTTGAAGCTAGCAGAGGTTGGTTCATGAGGTTTAAGGAAAGAAGCTGTCTCCTAATATAATGGTACAAGGTGAAGTGCAAGTTAACACATGTGTTTTCAGCATGGGTTTACTGAATATTTTAAGCCTACCGTTAAGACCTACTGCTCAGTAAAAAAGATTCCTTTCAAAATATTACTCCTCATTGACAGTGCACCTCGTCACAAGAATTCTGATAGAGATATACAAGGAGATGAATATTGTTTTCATGCCTGCTAACACAACATCCATTCTGCAGCCTGTGGATCAAGGAGGAATTTTGACTTTCAAGACTTACATTTTGTAAGGTTGTAGCTGCCATAGATAGTGATGGATCTGGGCAAAGTAAATCAAAAAACCTTCCATAAAGGATTCACCATTCTAGATGCCATTAAGAACATTTGTAATTCATGGGAGGTCAAAATATCAACATTAACAGGAGCTTGGAAGAAGTTGATTCCAACTCTCATAGATGACTTTGAGGGATTCAAGACTTTCTGTGGAGGAAGTAACTGCAGATGTAGTAGAAATAGCAAGAGTAAACCAGAATTAAAAGTGGAGCCTGAAGATGGAAATGAATTGCTACAATCTCATAATACAACTTCAACAGATGAATTGCTTCTTATGGCTGAGCAAGGCTGAGCAAAGAAAGTAGTTTCTTGAGATGGAATATGAACAGTGTTGAAATAACAACAGAGGATTTAGAATAAATGGCACATAAACTTAGATGATAAAGCAGTGGCAAGGTTTGAGATGATTGGCCTACAATTTTGAAAGAAGTTCTGTGAGTAAAATGCTATCAAACAGCATCACATGCTACAGAGAAATCTTTTGTGAAAGTCAGATTCAGTTGGTGTGGCAAAGGACTTCACTGTTGTCTTATTTTGAGAAATTGCCACAGCCGCCCCAAACAGCCACCACTCTAATCAGTCAGCAGCCATGAGCATCAAGACCCTCTGCCAGCAAAAAGGTTACAACTCACTTAAGACCCAGATGATCATTGGCATTTTTTTTTAGCAATAAGTTTTTTTAAATTAAGGTATATATACATTGTTCCTTTAGACATAATACTATTGCACACATAATACAGTATAGTGTGAACATAAATTTTATATGCATTGAGAAACCAGAAAATTCATGTGACTCACTTGAGATACTTTATTGTAATGGTTTCGAGTTGAACCGATAGCATCTCTGAATTATGTCTGTATTCTAAATTCCCCTCAAGAAATAATGTAGAATATTTGGAAATATTTTTGATTAATTCCATTGAGGTTAATTTTACATATACTCTGTAATAATAACTAGGAAAAGACAAAGGACATTTTCTATTACAGATAATGCACACTGTT